CAACGCCCAGCAAACTCGTCCAAGGCGCCGGTCCCACAGCAAAAGGGTCTCTGTTCAGGGTATTCCCAAGGTTTTTCTTCAGCTTCTTTCTCTGCTAGGGAGTTACTTTGTGCTACTGTTTATGACTGAGCGCCTGCACCCGTAACACTTGACCGCGGAAACTGTCTTTAAGGTGCAGTCCTAGCGTGCATGAAAATCCAGCAGCGATCACGCGGATGGAGGCGGGCGAGAATCAGAACTGGGAGGGCAGAGAGAATCAGGGCTAGTGTTGGGGGTGCGGCTTGTCGTGAGGCAGCGTGGGCGGGGTTAGGAGACGGTACTTGGGAGCGGAAAAAATGGCACATTACTGCAGATGCGAACCCACTTATCCCGCGCATAGCAAGTTCCAGGATCTGCAGAAAAAGTTTGAAGGTTGTTTTCAAAGGTAGAGCTGAATTCAAAAAAGAAATTGCTGACCTTTGCACGAACACCATGTAACACTGCGTATATAATACATATTTATTCTCATACTTGTAGTCACTGTTTTCGATTGGGACAATCGGCTTCATTTGTAAACTTCAAAGACAAATCCATGGGCATGTCGGCTTCGTTTTGATGCTCGGATACAGTGCTACATACAGCCGTTGTATTCGGATGATGATACTGCTGAGAATGGAGAAAAGAAGGAAGGAACCAATTGTTGCATTGCCTTGTGATCCTTGTGTCTTTGCGCATTTTGGCGCGGCGGTTTTGAAACCATACCTAGAATTGGAAACAGGAGTGTTTCAAAGATCAAACCCTTGAAGTTCATCTTCTTTGATCTCTACCTGAATTCTTGTCTCAGAAAGAAATAGCCTTGAGGCGAGCTCCTCACGAGTGGCCACATCTGGGTACGGAGTGGCCAAGAATATCGACTCCAGTACATGAAGCTGAAAAATTCTGAGAAAGATGTGATGCGCAGTAGTCATTTGACAGTGGGCACACCTGTTGCGGACTGAAGGTGATACGTGACCGTCTGACTTTCGTTCTGTCACTAAAATCTGGCGTTTCTTCTATTTTACCTGAAATTGCGGTTTGAACACGGAATCGTCCAAGAAAAATTTTAAGTCGACGATTGGAGCTGTTGTTAAGACAGGGGCCCATATTCACCACGTGCTCGGTCCAAAAGTTTAGATCAGCTCCTGTCCACGCCAGACTCTGTATCCCACTAGAAAGGGTTGACCTTTCACCAGAAAGTAGTCAGTTGTACTTCGAGTGGCCCACACAAGGTAAAGTGGAAGCAAAATGTGTGACGCATTTTAAAAAAGGCGAGTTACCAGCAAAAGCTATATTCATTGCCCTAAATCCGGATCTGCACTTTCGCGCCTCGTAGTCAACTAAAATTTTCCCGAATGCTACATTCAACCCAGCTCTTTCTGATCTTTGACACCGGTCTCCTTTAGTGGATTTGCAAGTTGGGATTCTAAAAAGATCAGTTTCGTTACAAAGCGCCCTCGCCCCACGCCTGTAGAATGCCAAGAGTTTGAAAAGACACCTACGACCAGCGTCTCGCCCAAAGAAATGTTGCACGTACAGTCGTCATCCGGGCACTTGATTAGGCAGCCGAGGGTCGCGACTCGGCTGCGGCGCGTCACGACCCCGGCGATCAGCTGTACAGTCAACTGTTTCCGGCCTGTTTTGGCCATTTTCTCGCTAATTGTCACTGAATTTTCTATTTTTGATCAAGGTAAGTTGTTTTATTGCCTAAAGTGCATTAGGAGGTGAAGTTTTTTTTGTTTCCGCAATAGAGAGTTTTTGCGATTTTTTTCAGGTATTTGGTGGACTGTCTGCTCATCTGCTTAAAGACAGCTCCCGCGATAAAAGTGTCAAGGATAATTGCTGATCAATTATGAAACAGTAGCTGATAAGTAATTCCTCAATGAAGGAAAAAAGCAACAAGAGCCCTCAAGAACACCACAAACAAAATTGCTCCCTTACAGTTACACCGCCTACAGGTCCGTAGGCAACCCTTGGCTCACAAATCGCTTCATGGCATTTCCCAGTAGCGGACAACAT